ACACTAAGTGCAGTCTCAAGGTAAGTATTCTTGACTTTGAATATTTCATACATCACTAATGATTTATTCTTGAAGATAAAATGTAGTAATCATTTCCCATTTGAGCTAACCATTTTCTTTCTATTCATTTTTTATCAATCATATACTGTGAACTGACCTGTATACACAATAAAATAATGATAAAGGCGAAAAACTGCAGCATGAGTCGACACATGTCCACATGAGTCAACTCATTCTAGTGACAAAACAGGGTATGAGTCGACACATGGCCTTATGCATCGACTCATACTATTATCCAGGCCCCAAAACAGAAGGATGAAAGGTGCATGAGTCGACACAAAACGCATATGTGTCGATACAAACAGGTGCATGAGTCGACACATCCCATTATGCATCGACTCATATTGAGTTGATTTTGTTTTACAGGAGCAAGAAGAGTTATGTGTCGATGCATAACAGCATGTGTCGACTCATGATATTTCAAAATGCAATTTTTATTTCTTTTTACAATGTCTTTACATTTTTCATAGATTTTCTTCATTGATGTCCATTTATTCGATATGGTTGTATTGATTAAAGCTTCTACTTCATCCCCATTTGTAAATTGTACCCCATCCCCTTAATGATGTAATAACGTAGGATTTTAATTTCCGCAAATTTATCGTTTTTCATATAAATTGTTAGTAATTAGGATGTGTATGGCAAGATAAAATCAACCGCTAGAAAACCCTAATCTCAAAGACAAAAATGCATGCAATCAAACGCACTTCACACACGCGCACCTTTAAGTTAATCTCACTTGTTGCCTCAGAAAATAGTCATGTCCCTCGAATATGGGCGTTTTAGCAAAGACCCTCGATAAAAAATATCATAGTCCCTTGATGTCCCTCGATGTTGCCTTCGATAAATGATCTAGTCCCTTATGAAAATTGCTATAACGTCTCATAAGTTGCCTTTTATGACTGTACGATTGACCCATGCTCGTCCCTTCACATCCAAGGATAGGGTTTATTACCAATCAATGGTAAGATAGCCACATCTAAAGGAGGAGGAAAAGAACAAAGACCTTTTAAGTAGGTAGGACGCTCGTAGTTTCTTGCTCCCCAAACTAAAAACCATTTTTACACTCGTACTTTCAAAATATCTTCAAAAAAACAAACAAACATCTCTTTGAACTATTTTCAAAACTAACACTTTGTATGCATTCTTATAGAGACGAGAATCATTACAAAGTTTTCCGTAACAAAGGCGCTTTCAAAATATTTTCAAACTTACGCCAATCACAAACATATTTCAAATAAAGCAATTTCAAAAGTGATCTAGCAAGCAACTAAGAGCCCTTAGATAACTACGGATGAAAAGGGTGCTAACACCTTCCCTTTTCATAACCTACCCCCCGAAATCAAGAAAATGTCTCAAAGGTCTTTCCTGTTCCTTTAACCCTTTCCTATATTGGATAAAAGAAAAGTCGGTGGTGACTCTTGCTATCTGCAACATTTTGCGATAAAACGCAAAACACCCAAATCAGTTCTCCCACCGTATCACACCTTAGTTGAGATAGTAGGGGGGCAACACGAAAATCGCCACGACACCCTGTCTCCATCGACATTTGCCACATGCTCGGGGTCTTCCACACGCTCCCTTTTTATCGGTTGTTCGGGAGGGGGGGGGGGGGGAGCCTGGGCCTCTGGAGGGGAAGATGAACCGCTTGGATGGGAAAAAGTTTTGGCTTGTTCCTGATGTTGGACAACCTGAGTTTTGGGCGCCAAGTGTGATAGATTCTTGGACCTTAACTTGAGAAAATGTTCAGAGAGAGTCGCCATCCAGCCTGCATTTAAAAGAAATTGTTAGTCCATGAGACAAAAGTACGAATATGAAATTATGGGCACATCCCTTACTTAGAAGTCTCAAAGCCTCCTCATCAGAGGAGCAATCAAGGAGCACTTTCATGTTAACCAGTCGGGGAATAAAAAGATGCTCCCCTTTATCGTCAAAGAGGAAGTTTGCCTACATCTACACACTTTTTCAGAGAGAAGCTCTTGACATAAGCCGCTAGCTTCTCGTAAGAGAGCTTATCCTGGGCATCTAAGTCCTCGGGCTTCACCGCATAATACTCGTGCTTATGCTAAAAATGTTTCCAGTGCCACTCAAGAGGAAACTTCACCGTCAGTCGAGCCAATGTCCGACCATCCTCGACCTCTTCCGAGCAGTTATACAAAAAATCCACGACCGCATCAGTGAGGGGCTTCACGACGAAGTACCTTTCTTTGAAGTTTCGTATAGATTCCAGGTACGGTTAGAAGAGTTTCCCGAATTACTTAAATGACACCCATGCCTACCGCCGGTCAATGGTTTGCTGTTGCAGGTGGAAGATATGGAAGAAAAGGGTCAGAGTGGCACCAATCTGAAGGTACTGACAGACGAGCTCAAATGCCTGCATGAACGCGAGCGCGTTTGGATGAAGCTGAGAGGGCGCCAGTTGAAGCCATTGAAAAATCCCACTTGGAAATCGTTGAAGGGAAAACGCATCCTCGTTTCCTTAAAAGCAAAGTCGTATATATGAAAGCGTTTTCCTAGGAAAGACGAGCATATCCTCCGACTTTGGTGAGGGATTTGGAGCGCGTCCAAATGGCAGGGGAATATTTTGCTCTGTCCTCGGGGACATTAAACGCGTCGGAAGCATCCTTCATAAAACATGATCCCTTATTCTGGGGTTCGAGCGCAACCCAAGCCAGGGGGTCGACCGCGGCCTCACTTCGCCCCCATCGGTGTCAGGCACAATATTTTCCTCGACTGGTTGTGCCATCGTACCTGAAAAGCAGGGGAAAATAACGAATTTGACACCATCAAAATCATCCTTCCACCACAAATCAAATGAAAGGGAGATGAATGCGTCGAGGAATGGTCCTCGACCCAAGCCCTCGACAGCGAACGCCAAAGAGGTCGACACCCTACGCGTGGACATTTCGTCGAACGGGCAAGTTCCCCAAATCCTCCCCATTATATAGGGGGACGACCCCGACGCAAGTCAAAACGAAATTCTAGAGCCATGAATCTTCATCCATATTCATGAACCCAAATGAACATTCATGGAGGTTTATCTCATAACCTATGAATCTTCATCCACATCCATGAACCCAGATGAACATCCATGGAGGTTCATTTTAGAACCCATTAATCTTCATCCAGAGGTTCATCCGTTCATGGCAAAACCCAAGTGTTTAATCTAAAAAATCTAAGAAAAAACACGATCAAGATGAAATCACTTACTTTGATGAGATGAACGTGAAGGTGTCTATGACAGTGTTGGAGGAGACGAACGCAAGGGAAATGGGAGGATAGAGAGCTTGAAAATATCAAAGTAAATCTCTGCTTCCCCTTTTATAGATAGCCCTCACCTCACGAGGTAGCATGCAAAAAGTCATCATTACTTGGACTTTTAGACTGCCCTATATAATGATGACACCCCAAACAGTTGCCACGTGGGGATCGCGAGAGGACACGTCGCCCACAATAGTCTCACGCAAAACCACGCGCCTGTGCCATTCCATTCTCGTTGGCGGACAAACGCTCGACATCATTTGTAATGCCTCATGAACGGGCACCTCGTAGGCGCGTGTTCGGGGAAACTCATCGCCTCTCCACGAGCGAAAATTACTACCGGGCACCTCGTCGATACGTGCAAGGGGCGAACTCGACCTATGAAACTCTCCCGGAGCTAACTTGGGCACATCACGCGCAAATCTCTGAGTCCTCCTCGACATGAGCCACAAAACCTTCCCCGGTGGTAGTTGACAGTTTGCTCTATCGGGTAGCTCCTCCCTAACACTTGAGCTAGTCTCAAGTCATCACCCTTTCGCCCAAGGGCAATAACTTGGGGGACTCCTGTTCTGGACTGGGCTGACACTTGCCTCACTATTGGGAAGGACCCAGTCCAACGCCTTTGTTGTGGCCTAATAACTTTAGTCCCAAGATTGATAGCTGTTGAGAATTTCTTCCGCATGCCCATTAGAGAACGTGTCCCTAGTCATCATCAACCACCACATGTCCTCTGAGAATAACGGGTCCACTGTCCCTACATTCACGAAGCGCTTCACCAGGAAGGGGGCCACGTACTGGACCCCATTACTCGCGTAAACCCTGACAGTCCACATTATTAGGCCCAAATCGCTTGGTCTATTACATGAATCTTGGTCCAACGCTGAGGGTTATAAATACCCTCTCACATGAGAGGGTCAGGTATCTATTCATTCATTCATTCTACCTCACTTACTTTACCTGCTCTCGCTCTGAACCTTACTTTGGCATCAGAGTGTCTTGCAGATACTCCCCCCATTTTACATTCAATCGCTGCTCAACTTGAAGCTCTTAGACCTTAACGATCTCTTCTGATCAAGTACAATAAGTAACAATTGTATTATTTATATTTTTTAAACAAATTATGTATCATGATACGTTTTCGATTGATTGATTAATGTTTTAATATATATTATTGTTTGAATTTATATATATGACATTCTTAAAATACATTAGCATAATTAATATGGTGTTATGATATTCTTAATATAAATGAGCTAAAATATAAGCTGATTTAAAAAAATATTATTTTCAGAAAAAACTTGCTGCCTAGGACTGATGTTCAAAAGTTAATTCGATGATGCACTTATAAACAACCCTACAAAATTATGAAAATGCATAATCAGACTAATGTTTTCAACCTCACTTAATAGGATTAAAATAATAGATCTTTTAAAAGTTAAGAGACAAACTGTTCCAAAATTAAAGTTAAGAGACGAAAAGCAATTAATTAATATTGGTTCGATTTGAATTTTGTTCTTGACAATATTTTAATTGATATTTCCTTTCATATTTTAATGAGAATAAAATGACAATTGTTAAAAAGCTGAATAGGAATGAGTGAAGATGGCGTATGAAAAATCCCTGATATACTGTATTTAAATTGTCAAAGCATTTGGAGAAGGAAGGAAGAAGAAGAAAACATGGTGTCACTAAGACGGTCGCCGATGCGGATCGCCGCCGATTTCCCCCACCTTCACGTTCTGCGCACTGCCACGACCTGGGCAGGGTTCGCCGCAACTTCAACAGCCACTTCTTCCACACGGTGTGGAGATCCGAGTTCCGGAGTAAAGGAAGCAGAGATAAAACGACAGCTCATTCAAGCGTTTTTATTCTTAACCGTTGATCTGTCATTTAAATGAATGAAGGGTTGAGATGGGTTCACATTATATCCTACATTTTTGACTCCACCGGAGTGAATCTTCATCATTTTGAAATTCGTTATCTTCTTCTCTTCCTTTCTGTTGAAAATGGCGCTCCATGCTTTGCTGGGACACTCTGCACTACTCAAACTCTCTACTTCTTTTAATGGCCAACTTCTATCTTCTTCCTCAAGTTCTCCTTCTTTCGCAGCGCATCCCGGTTTGTCAATTCTCGTTTTACCACTCTTATTCACCTTTCCTTTTTCACTATACATAATTAAATATATTAACTTTACAGGAAACCAATCATTTTCCAAAAAGCAATTTGTGGTTTTTTCTCGGAAGATATCGGGCTTGTATGAGGCCAGGAGAATCAGAAGGTATCAAATAACCCTAATCTGTTGATTATATTTTCATCGTTTTTTTTCTTCCCACACTGTAACTAACTGCATCTAAACTGTAACTAACTCTGCTGACTCAGCACAACCTAGTTACACTATATAAACTCACTTGGTGACTTCTTCTAACAAACTTTCAGTTATCAAAATAATAAAACAAAGCAGATTAACAGAATGGAGTATGTCTCTCTCTGTCTAGTTCTTCAATTTCTCTCTTTCTAATACAACTAGCTTCTTCAATCTTGCATTTTCTTTCTATTGTCAAAGAAAAAACTTTTTATTTACAAGTAGAAAACATGAATCAAAATTTTGTCAAGATTCTTACTCGATGTTTTCTCATATGAAGAGAACGTGAACTTCAGGTTGTGAAGAAGGATAGAAAAGGGCCTTCGTTAAGGCGTGGCGAAGTATCACCGCCTTTATCTGTGCCTGATCACATACCTAAGCCTCCTTATGTAGGCTCAAATATACTTCCAGAAATTGCAAGTGAACATCAAATTCCTGATTCCGACGGTATTGCTAAAATGAGGGCTGCATGTGAGCTTGCAGCACGTGTCTTAAACTTTGCAGGAACTTTGGTTAAGGTAAGATTTTCTCCGCTTAGTATTTACTTCCTATATGATATGGAAATATTGGGTTTTTGGTAAAGTTTTCAATGATCGTCATTGTCAAAATAATAATTCAACATTCTAATTCCATAAACGAGTCTACAAGAGAACTAGAAAGTTTGACAACCATAACATGTTTTTACTCTACTTTGGGGTGTTGAGGGAGGCCACTGTTTAAACTTTGAATTCCTACTACCAGTTGGATGCACTGCTTTTCTTACGTAGTCAAACTTCCAATGTAAATACAATGAAACAAACAAATAAAACATACTATGTTAATAGTGGTGGTGGCACAGAACAGTGGCTAGTCTCCCCCACATGCACTAATGCAGCACAGAATGGAGTCGCGGTCTTGTTTGTGCCTACTAATCGCGATGCCTTTCATGATTGGTGCGCCGCTGCAGGAGCACATTTGATTTTAGGTGTTGAAAACCATAAAATACCCTTATAATCATAGAACCATTAGACAGGTATATTGGGGTTTTCATGCAAAAAACCCTGTTACCCTCTTCTCTTCTAGGGCCAACACCCCCTCTTATCTTCATTTCCCTCTGCTCTCTCTCTTATTTTCCATTTGCCAATCTGTATCCCAGCCTCCTTCACATCCCAACAGCCATGGTAACTCCTACTCTTTATCAAATAGGGGCCATGCTGCACCCCGCAATCCCAGTTTTGGGGTTTGCTGCATCGGTCTGAAATCTGGGATTGGCAACATAGGAACCGTGCTCAGAAGTTGTCGTTTTGGGAGTCAAATAGATTTTGTATGCAAGTTGACTAGATTTTACTTCCTCGGATGAGTGTATGAATTAACTAACGGTCTGACAAACATAACATGCTTTTATTTTAGGTTGGGGTTTTGAGGGAGATGTGAAAATTTTAAATACATATTACTAGTAGGATGCATTGATTTCCTAATGTAGACCACAAACATTTCTTGACTGTGAATGATCAAGAACTTAAATCCAATAATATTCGAGGCTTTGTGACCACAACCTTGATTATGCAAATGCCATTTTTGTTTTTGTTTTAGTATGATATTTAACTTGGTGCCACTTTTTTTTTATCTGACTTGATCTTGCTATACATTGTCAGCCTTCTGTGACAACTAATGAAATTGATAAAGCAGTGCACCGGATGATAATTGATGCTGGTGCTTATCCCTCACCCCTTGGCTATGGTGGATTTCCGAAAAGTGTATGCACATCAGTTAATGAGTGCATGTGCCACGGGATTCCTGATTCTCGGCAATTGCAGGTTTTACTAGCCCCCCACCCCCACAATTTTTTTTAATCCCTGGTATACATATAACTCAGAATTGATGACAATTGTCCCTTTTGCAGAATGGCGATATTATCAACATTGATGTGACAGTGTACCTGAATGTATGCTTCTCACTGATATTTTTTAGTTGAAATTGGCCCTACATATTTTCCAACTTAGATGTTTTTTACAAATTACAACATTATTTTGGTTGAATCTGCATATTTTCCACTGATTTTCCTGTGTGTATATTCTATTATTGGTACCATGTTAGTTGCCAATATTCTATGCTTTTTTATATTTTGTGATATGCTGTTGAGGATCAAGTAAATATATCCCTTCTTTATATGATTTGTCAGGGCTATCATGGAGACACATCAAGGACTTTTTTATGCGGTGAAGTCAGTGATGCATTGAAAAACCTTGTTAAGGTAAATGAAAGTCAGCTGATACATGTCCAGAAAAAGAAACTTCTCTGCAATCTTATAGTTTTTAGTGTAGTATGGTCTGTATTTCATTGATGGCACATTACTTTCTTTATATATTTGCATTTTTTCTCACACATGAACTTTAATTCCTCCTTAAGCAATGTCATTTGTGCAATTATTTAGATCATTCGTTAGTCACGAGCAAATTGTTTATCTGTTGGTACTTGGTAGGTAACTGAAGAGTGTTTGGAGAGAGGAATAGGCGTTTGCAAGGATGGTGCTCCTTTTAAGAAAATTGGAAAGATAATCAGGTATATTTTTGCTTTATCTTACCGACTAAAACCTATATGTTTGAAAATTTAATATTGCCAGCTTGGATACTACAAAAATTGTTAAATACGGTTTCCTTCCTTTAGTTTGTATTCTTCCAAAAATAAAATGTAAGGGAAGATTTAGATGCTCATGCTCTATCAATATTTAGGAGCCATCTTTGAGATTTCCAAATCGTCATTTTGATTGTATTCAGACAAGGTTGAATTTATAGTATTAAATTTTGGGTAAATGGCATTTTTGGATTTTGAAATATGAGCAAAATTTGGTTTTAGTCATTGCAATTTGGTTTCAGTTTCCTCCATTTTTAGTCCTTGATATTATATCCCCATCAAAAAGAAGATGGAGGGGGAGTTGCTGAATTTTTTGTTTTCCCATTTGTGTCCTTTGAGTCTTGTATATTATCATGTTCAAATTGCCATAACTAGCCAATATACTCGTATATTTTCCCATTTATTAAATATTTTTAATTTTAATCTCTTAATAACATATTATTTTGATATTATTTATCATTTTTTATGGCGGGGATTGGTGGCGTAGTGAATTTTATATGGAGAGTCATGGAGGCAAAACACATCCCCCCATTGCCATAACTAGCCAATATACTGCCACCTTAAATAATCACCAGCCTGTTGTACCCTTGGGTGGTTCCTGTTCATTCTAGTTATGCTTTTTTACTGCGAACAGCTAGCACAATTTTCTTCCTACGGCATTGCAATTTTGTACTTTAATTGAGTTATAGTGATTGATTACGCATCTTTCTTTTTACAGATTGTTGGCATGATGATTGTTTGTATGAATGATGATGGGATGTACAATTGATGACTTCATATATAGATTTTTAAGTGTTTTCTTTTGTAACATTTTCTCAGCAAACATGCTGAAAAGTATGGCTACAGTGTAGTGGAGCGTTTTGTTGGGCATGGTGTTGGAACAGTGTTTCATTCTGAGCCGCTTATTTTTCATCAACGTGAGTGACCTATCATCTTCGATAATTTTTTCATCACATTGCTATTTCTATCATTAGATGGTTGTCTAAAATAACAAACCTATTAAACTGCATTTATTATGATTGAATGTTAACAATGACTACCTAACTGAATTATTTGTGTTATTTACCAGTAACTTAAGTTGCTTGGTAGTCCTTAATTTTTGCTTTCAACTAAGATCTCCAGCTCTTATTATGACAGTTTAAGATCATACTTTTGAAACTTTTTGGTTGTTTGAAAAAACTGAAAGGCTGGTTATTTGGATTGGTTTGTTTATTGTAATAAACTAATACTAGTTTTTAGGCAATAGTTGGTCCTAGTGGAAAAGTTTTGATCTTAGGCAAACCAATCATATATTGTTGTGGTTTGCATTCTAAAACTGCCCTGTATCTGGTATCAATGAAAGTGCTGCATAACCTTTTGTTTGCATTAGCATTTACTAATGCAGAAAGATTCTGTAGATAGTAGCAAACAATCGTCTTGTAATAAATAATATTTGATAAGTGTGCATTGGTATGGAAAGAAATTTGTAATTAACAGGAATTTTCACCTTTTGTTTCTGAAGTTATGATTTCTAACTTTTTATCATTCCTTGATAGGAAATGACGAAGGAGGTTGCATGGTTGAAGGTCAAACATTTACAATTGGTAAGTGAATTGTAGATTTTTACCTAATATTATTATACGTGAACATTGCTACCGTTTCTTTCCCATACTGCTTCACTTGTTGTGTCTAGAAAATTTAGATTTATTTGTCCCATAATTTTTTTTGTACTTTATATTTTAAAAGGATACAGGATACTGCAACTTCATGCTAGTCAATTGCTCTCCGTATCTGTTAAACAGGTGATATCTTGAAATTGAATGATGATCCTGTAAAAATTATATTAAACTGCAGAGCCTATTCTTACCATGGGAAGCACCGATTGCATTACATGGCCTGACAACTGGACAGCAGTTGCAACTGATGGTAGCCCGTCAGCACAGTTCGAACATACCATTTTAATAACTAAGACAGGAGCTGAAATTTTGACTACATGTTGATGTGGTAATTTTATTTTATTTTCTTGAAACCATCATATGATCATATCAAATCTGAATTATGTTTATAAATTTGTATCTAAGTTGCTTAATGTCTTCAGTTTCCTTCTGGAGGATTATGCACAAGTAAGAAACCCATTCATTCTCTTTTGCGTTGATTCAACATTACAATTTCTATCAGCAAACATGAAGTTACTGCTATCCGTCTAATGAAAAACCTGCTGAGATGACCTTTGGAAGCTGGATCGGCAGGGGACCACTTGTTTGTAGTGCTTTTATCAAGAAAAATAACTTCTTAGCTTAGAGATGTGTTTTTAAAATTGTATTTGTTATTTTTCTTCTGGAAACGGGAAACAAAAACAAAAGCAATAATGACATTGTACAACATACGAAATTCACTGGAATATCTAATATTCGTAAATATCTAGGAGAAAATATCTCTCATGGGAAATTTTCTTGTATTTTGATAAGATCAAAAACTGGTTAAATGGATGGAAGCAACAATGTCTCTGTTTGGCTGTGAGGATCTCCTTTCTAATTCAGTGTTGAGCTATATTATGTATTTTAAAAATGCGGTATGTAAAGCTACCTATAAAAGCCTGTGACTATACTCTAAAGGTTCAAATGAGCTTTATCTGGAGGGACAATGATCACTCCCTGAAATTTCACTTAGTTAATTAGAAAATTTGTTGTCCGTTCACGTAAAAAAAATGGAGATTTAGGTATTAAAAAACTTCATGTTATGAATGAAATAAACATATTTTTGAAGATGGATTTAGAAGACAATCAAACGATATTTGAGTGTTCTTCATTTTTCTAAAAATGTGGAGAATGTAAATTCAAAATAAGGAGAATGATACAGCATTAGAAGGGGCACAACTTTTATCAGATGGAGATTTCCAATGGCGGATTGGATCAAGCTGAAAATGATGGTTCGGTTAAGGTTGCTAAGGAGAATTATACAATGTGGGATCTTTATCACGAATTGAATTTGGCGTGGCACATGATTATAGGTAAGTGGTGGCTAAAAAAGTGATTCAGAATTCTTAAATGATTTGATTAATAAGAGTGACTTAAGTAGTGATGCTCCTAAGTTGATTCTTCATATTAGAAATATGATTAGATGGCATCCATACTTGGACGCTAATTCCAGTATTAAAACTTTAATGTCAAAGTACCTATAAACATTTGATTTATATACAAATCGATTTTTGTTTTAAATAAATTTCAACTCAAACTGAAGAGGGAGAAACTAGCGGTTGGTTTCTAGTTGATATGTTAGTTTTGAACCCAATAAACAATTATGAGTTACAATAACATGGGAGGGAATTGTTGACAAGAAATTGCATGGTAAATTTAGCATAAAAATCCATAAAAAAAATCAGAGTAAATTGTGTTGCACACCAAGCGATCAACGTGTCTGCTATCTAGTTTAGGAATTTGTATAAGCCTTCTTCTGATTCCAAATTCCTTTTTAACCTCTTTAGAACCTTATAGTCTCATATGTGCCCAATAGGGAACCAAAAGAGCATTTCATCAATAGGCCCTACCCTCGCCATATCTTGACCAAAAGGAATGGCAAACTTTGATAGAAGGAGGATAGTCCCGTATTTAAGGTTACATAACTAAGTGAAAGGCTGTGAAAGGCAAAAGAGCTTGCCTTCTTGTTACGATTAGACTCCAGCCATAAAAAGGATTGACCTAAATTGGCAGGTTATAAATTCATGTTACATACCTCATAATTTTGATATTTATCATAATAGGTCCCTTCAATTTCATGTTATCTGAGGTCTATATTTGTATTGGTAAAAAAATATAGGTGTGCGTGTTTCTCCTGCAAGGGTAGGGAGATCCAAAAGCCTTTGTAGGTGTTCTAGATTGGACCCGTGACTGGCCGACTGTCGGCCATAGTCCAACTCACCCTTGCGTCAAGGATGACGCAAATGATGGCCCAATCCATTAAGGTCCAAGATGAGGACATATTCTCCACGTGTCTCTCTTCCGAGGACACGTCACCATCCAACCGTCCGCGTTCCTCAGGGCCTATCTGACCCACCGAAAAAATCGCAGGGAGGACCCCCGTGAAGCTCGTAAGCTCGTGAGTTCCATTGGAGGCACTTAAGTTTGGTGGGGACAAGCCTCCCCGACACATGAGCTTCATGTTAAATAAGGAAAATAGAGACTTTGGGTCAAAAGTGGAATTAAGAGAAATAAGAGGGAACAAGGAGTAGATAAGATTAGATGCGGGGAGGAAAATAGAAATAGTGAGAGATGGATTAATTAGGTTAATATACGTTTAGAGAGTCCTAATTCTAATCAGTACGTAGAAACCTTGAAAAAGAGAGAGAAGAAGACTAGAGACAAAGGAAGGCTAGAAGGTTGAGGAAGAAGAATCTGTCATACCCCAAATTTGCCCACCCTTTATTTTTACAGTAAAAAAATATTTTCAGCATTGATTTTTATAATATTCTTTGGTTCAATTTTACTAACTTTTTAAGAATAATTTGTTCCGCTCATTTAAAAATGTATAATAGTTTAATTTAAATTATTTGTATTTTAAATAGCAAATACTTGTTCGCTTTCATATACTTTCAATTAGATTTTTTATTTTAAATGAGTAACATAACATAGTTGGTAAGAAATGAAGCTTACAAGTATGAGGTTGTGAGTTCGAATTTCTTATGTTGCACTTTTAACATTTTATTTTTCTATTTTTTGTTACTAATTTTTTTTCCTTTTTTAGAGATCAGATTTTGGGTTTTTCAGTGTTTTGGGTAACTTAATTTCCAAGTTTTTTAACCTAATTTTCTATAAATAGGACTATTGTCCATCATAATTTTTCATCCATAATTTCACAATCTCAATCTTTCTTTTATTTTTAATTTATTCTAGAGTTTCTGAACAGAAACTCTGAGAAACAGATCCAAAATGTCCAACAAACTTTCAGCCCTTCCGATCCAACACGCTGCCGCTGCATCACTGCTCTGTATCTTCCGCTTTGTAGATGTTAGTCCTAAATGTGACGTGAGTTTTCAAATCAAATCACTCTAGGTGGTGAGTTGTCTTTCCATTGATTCATGAAGATAATTATGTCTAAATTACTGCAACCAAGGTTAGATGCTTATTACTATATCATAGTTTGTATGCTATTATTGGAATAAAAAAGAATTAGCAATTGCTAGCATCCAGTATGCATATGTCTTGAAATTCTTGTGTAGAACATGTCTTGGCATATAACAAACTTCATACATAAAAGCCAAATATGACATCTTATAGTAATTTTTTTTTAAACTTTTAGGTAATAAATAATTATTTTCGTTTGATACGAAGGGTTAATAAAATTTATATTATTCAGTGATATATTAGAAACATAAAATATTATAAAAACGAAAAAGACATTTTTATTTTATTAAGTTATTTAGTTTATTAGATTTAATTTATATATATATATATATATATATATATATATATATATATATATATATATATATATATATATATATATATATATATATATATATATATATATATATATATATATATATATATATATATATATATATATATATATATATATATATATATATATATATATATATATATATATATATATATATATATATATATATATATATATATATATATATATATATATATATATATATATATATATATATATATATATATATATATATATATATATATATATATATATATATATAATATATATATATATATATATATATAATATATATAATATATATATATATATATATATATATATAATCTTAGTTTCTTTTAAGTAACAAAATTAATTTGTAAATATTCATTAGTTATTTTTCCGATTCAAACATCACCCCGACCACTTGTAAGTAATTTCTAAAACACTTGAACTTAGATTTAACAAAAGTCAAACTGTTTAACTTAAATTAATTCGATATTTTACAAAGATATCAAAACCCACACAACTCACCAAATACTCCATCCGCGCCCTTCATGATGAGCGACACATGGCCAATTTCTGGCCACGTGATGAGGAAGACTTTATTAGACTCCCTCTGTAACCCTTGTGACGAGTGACACGTGGCCAATATCTGGCCACGTGATGAGGAGACTTTATCAGACTCCCCCCGCTCTGTATCTTACCATACTCGCTATCGATCAAAACTCAAAACAGCTAACCAACAACAAGTCATTTTTTCTACTAACATAATTTTAAATTTAAGATATTTTCAAAAAGGATTGTGGAGATATTCTTTATTAACTGTGAACTGCGTCTACGATTCTACTATTATCAACCCAGACTTGGTTCAAGGATTAATTTAAAATATTTTCACAATCCATAAAAAAACAACCAAACACTACTAACTACGAATTTGGACTCTGATTCCTCATAAGAGGATACATAGGCATACAATTTAAAAACTGTGGCGAGTTCCCCTAATTAATAAATTAAAACCCTATCATACCTTTTTAACCTAAACCCTAGTATCCTTATGAACAAGGTAGATGAAGGGTGTCTAACACCTTCCCTTTGTCTAAAGTGAGTCAAGAACTTATAATCTTTGTATCATCAATTAGGGTTATTCTATTATATTCCCGTCTTAGGATAAAAATTAATGGTGGCAAATCTATATTTTTTTTCTCGGTTATTACAAAATCAGTCAATCCCAATTTTTGCCAATTGTTGCTAGGAATTAAGGTAAGGAGGATATTTCTTATTTAATAGGTGCTAAGCATGAGGGGTAGAATTGAGGAGTCCTTAACCTCCAATAGGATTGTATGTGTTGTGTGTGAAATTTGTATAATTGTGTTGTGTTGATGTTATATGATGATTTTGATGAGAAAATTCGTGTACCAATTGTGATACGGTGGCAGAACCGACTGTTATATACTGGTTTGTGTTTTTTGTTCGTAAATGTCGCGGTAATCAAGAGTCGCCACCGACTTTTCTTTTATCCAACAAAGGAAAGGGTGAAAAAAACAGAAAAAGACTTTTTTCG